CAACCTCAGTCTTTCAATGCTGGTTTCAGGCACTTTCATCTTTGTTCACTTTCTGATGCAGGGAACACATGATGGAGGAGCCTGAGAGCCCTGAGGTCTCGGAGTGTTGAGTGTGATGTGGGTGTTTATGAAGTTGTGCACACATGTAGGGCCAGAGCTGAGGGGTGGGGGCTGGATGGAGGAGGGGATTATTCATAAGGAAATCACAGGCTGAAAACACAGAATCAGTCTTAGGGGGCCAATCTCAGGATTCAGTTTCCAATTCCTGGCTTCTCTGCGCCTGCAGCAACTGTCAGCCCACTGATCTGGTAGTCAGGGCTGAACGCTCAGGACCTGAACTCCAGATTTGCACAGTGACAGGAAGGTAGAAGTGAAGACCAGGTGCCAAGTGTGATGACCAGCCTTAGACTAGGAGTAGCCTTGGGCTCTCATCCTAGTCTCAGGACAGATCCCTTTGCCCATCAGACCCCAGTCCACTCACTGAATGCAGGGGGCTGACTCAGACAGAGCATTCTCAGTCTGATCAGCCAGAAAACTTGTAACCTGGAAAATCCCAGGTCCACCCTAGAGATGGGGTGCTGGGGGCCTGGAATGAGATTCAGGGACATGCCTGGCTAACCAGTGCTGTAAGGTGACCCTGGGCCATCCTCAATCCTGGGCCACACTTTGACTATCAATGGACTTGGTCATCTCTGGGGTCCTTCACAGCATTTCCCTGAAAAAGTCAAGTTCCTTGGGCCACATAGAGGGGAAGTCATCACCTTCAGGATGCCCCTGTTTATTAGTAGGTGTGGTCCAGCCGAAGAAGAGGCTGGGTGACCAAGCAGGACACCTGCCCACAGGGAACCAGCATCCAGGCTTCGGGGAGCTGAACTGGAGCCACAGAACCTCCATGCTGTCTGTTCAGGTTTCAAGTCACACTGACCTCCACCTCCCATTCCCTGGGCTGGCCTGGCCACTTCAAATCCTAACTAGGCCAAAGCTCACTTGAACATATTTGTATGCCAGAGAGCAGAGTTCAGGGCATAAGCCCTGGAAGTACTTTGTGTTTTCCCAAATTCCAGAAGGTCAACATGTTGACGAGAACTAACAGACCCAAGGGACTGGCCAGAGATCCCAGGACCCAGCTCCTCTGTGGGGAATCTGTACTCACCAGTTTGTAGTTTTGAATCTCAATTTGTCCCACTCTATTCAACATCAAAAGCTCCATCCTTCAAAACCTCCTTATTCCATAAAGCTGTCCCCATCCCCCCAACCAAAATTACCTGCTTTTTCCCCCCTACAACACTGTTAACCATTTTAGCGCCCATTTCCTGACCTACTGGAAGTCGGGATTGTCCCATTTTTATTTTCCTGGGAGCCTGGTGCATGTGCAGCTGTTCATCGGATTAAAATAGAATCGAATAAGGCAAGGGGGTTAGTCTTCCAGTTCAAAAAGTGAAGCAATGATTGTGCTGTTATTATTTTAGAAAAATCAATGATATAATCATCTTATAGGTTGCCAGAGTATATTAAAATAACCATTTTACAAATAATACCCTATAATATTTCCTGGTAATAATAACTACTCATAATTTAGTAATGGGGATATCTAAAGGAGCCCCCAAAATAAGCTTCACAATGTAGGAATGGCAAGGGACAATACTTAGCATCTATTTTTTTTTCTGAGCTTCAAATTGAGTGAATGGTGTTCTACCTTATAAAACAAAAAAGGATGGTACACAGGGAAAAGAAATTTCCCCGGGAAAACATACAGCCCCACAAGAACTGCACGCAGAGCTAGCAATTATGATGGAAGCATGGCCTAAGAATGAAGTTCCTCTTGACTCTGTGGACTCATATTTATCCCACAAAAAACACAGATACCATTGGGATCCTTGGTGCAGAAGAGCTGGAGGAAGTCAAAACCTACTTCCCATCTGGTTCTAAGGTGGCCCCTGGTGGTGAGGGAGGTTTGGGACGGCAGGTTCCCCAGGAGCCAGAAAGGTTGAGGAGGAGGTATCTGCAGCCCATATGGAAAGAACTTTCAGAAAAGCACTATTCAAGGAAATAACTTGGAAAAAAAAAATACAACCTTCAGGACCATATTTGTTCGGGGGTCTGTCTGATAGGTTCTGAGCAGCTACTTCTGTGGAAAGTGGATGAAAATGAAAGAAGATGCTAATACTCTGAAACTCAGGTGGGAATCCCAGGCCTAATAACCAACTTCCGGGAGAGGGCACGTAAAGGTGAAGTCTTTTCTTTAGTAAAAGTGGGTTAGGGTTTGTGGCTAAGAGTAGCCAATGGCCCTGAGACATTTATGACAAACAATGGGAACTCTGGCAGAGAGAAGCTCACTGAGTCACACCTGGGGCCTTCCGCCCACTCGGCTCCACGGTCAGCTCACCTGAACCACTAAAGTGCAGAAAAGAGAAGAAGGACAGCTAGTCTACTTCATGGAGCCTCAATTTTGTCTCCTAGAAGGTGTACGCAACAATTAAATAATATCACAGGAGGGCTAGTAGATGCTTTTCCTGAGACCAGACCCAATCATACCTTGGCCTGGCTAAACAACGTGTAACAGTCTGCGCTCTGGTGTAGAAAACAGAGGTGCTTAGCAGTTATTCCTGTAACTGAACAGGCCATGAGATCCATTCCCCCTTATTTTTAGGTTTTTTTTCTTTGTTTAAGATTTGTCCTTATTGCCTTGCTTACTGAAGGAAAACCACTTCAACAGGGTCTGAGAAAAATGTAGCACTCATTGTTTACAGCAAGATGATACTTTTTATAATGTTCAATGATATTTGGGCTGATTGTGAATGTCCTCTTTCCCCTCTCTGGTTAGAAACACAAGAAAAGTCAATTAAGCAGGACAATTTGTTTTGTAAGTTAAGTTACTGCATAAGGCAGTTTTGGCACTGTTTATGGAAATTAAAAGTCTTCACCCTGTTTTGATACTCTACAGAAGTCTCTTGCTGTGACAGGCAGGAAAATGAACTGGATGAGAAAGTGGGTGCTCCATGTAGGGACTTGGTCAAGAAACTCGGCTAAGAAGCAGAAACATGGCCTTGCATGAATGCTGTGTGTCTGGAACCCAAGGCTGGCCTTCGGTAGAAGGCCTCTTAATTCTAAGTGATTTTACCTTGAATCAAGCTGACCATAAAGAAGTTCCAAAGAAACAGTCCTGAAGCCCAAGTGGATGTAGATTTAAGTGGGCCACTGAGGGGTCAGGCCAAGGCCCTCTCTCTGCAACTACAGCAGATACCCTAAGAACAGTTGTGCTCTGGCTTCCCTGAGACAGCGTGGAAGGCAACCCCCCTCCCAACACACATGCACACAGATATGCTGCCTTCTAGTCACGAAAACAATCTACTCCCAGTAACACCTGTGGCATTCTCCCTGTCACCTCTGACTGAGGGCAGCAATTCCTCAACTCTCTCACAACTTTCGATCAGAAATTCTACAAGCTGGAAACTACATGACCTCCAAATTGTACTTCTAAACAGTCATCCAAGTGAAATGAAATTGTGCGTGAACCTTCATAGCAGCTTTATTCATAAAAGATTGTCAATCCTCTTTAAAGACTGAAGTTAATTTACTTCAAAACCAGAACTTAGCTTTTTCTCGAACTGTCTACAGGATCCCATATTGGCAGTGTCTGAAGGTGTTTCTGGGGTGCTCTGAAGATGTTCTGTCATGCTCACAAATATCCTGGAACCCTTAAGCACCACCCTGGCCTGGATTTGCTGCAGACACTAGCTAGTTGACCAGCTCTTTCCAAGAGCCTCTCCAGAAAGCTCGACTATCTTGGGTTTTCTACTCAAAACATCTTCTGTTCTTTAGTATTAAAATCCATGTGTTCACCACCTTGGGGGGGGGGGGGTGTGCCAGGGGGAGGTGCAAAACTTCAGGTCAGGCCACAAACAAGAGGGAGAGCAGCCAGTTGGATGAAAGCCTTAATCACAGCCTTGGCTCACAGCCTATAACAAAAGCTTCTTGCTGCCCAATATTCTGCCCCAGGGCTAAAAAATTCCCACTGGGTAACCCATCCCCACCCCCACCTTCTGGAGATGGGCACTCACCCACTTGGAACCATGGCGACTTCCCAATCAGAATAACTTTGGTCAAGAGTCTGGTTGGGAAGCTCTCATGAGCTTAGTGACGAATTCATTCCAAATCTAATACAGATCTTCCTCCACTAACGATGGGGTTAGATCCTGATAAACCTATTGAAAATATCCTAAGTGGAAAACGAATTTAATACACCTAACCTACCCAACATCACAGCTTAGCCTTGCTTTACACTTACAGTTGGGCAAAATCATCTCCTACAAAGCTTATTTTATAACAAAGTGTGAATTATCTCATGTAATTTATTGAATGTGGTATCAAAGGTGAAAAACAAATGGTATCCAGGTCCAGACTGGTTATGAGTTATTCACCCTCGTGATGGGGTTGCAGAGGCCCCTGCCCCATATCTAACATCCCCGGCCCCAGGGAAAAGGTCCAAATTCAAACTTCCAGATCCAGTTTCTACTGAATGCATATCACTACCACACCATCATAAAGTCAAAAAATTGTAAGTTGAACCATCCCACATCAGTTAAAACCATCTGTAGTTCACTGCTACCAGGAAGTCCTCCCTTGGGCTTTTCAGGGCGCAAAGAAACTGCAGCCTCCCACCCTTGCGCCCTTCATTCCTCCCGGCACGACCACACCCAGGCACACACTCCTTCCTCTGGCCTTGGGGCCGCGGCCGTTCTTCCTCCAGGCCCGGCGGAGGAGAAAGACCCCTCCCTTCCTCCCTCCATCAGCCCACTCGCCGGCTGGTACGCCAAAAGGCGGCTATCTGCCTAGTCTAGGATGAGATGCCTAGCGGACCGAGGAAAGGCGCGTTCGGGTGAGAACTAAAAAAGACGCAAAAGGCCGGGCGCCTAAGACCGTGACGCAGCAACACAAAACTGACTGGAAGAAAGGCCGGGAGGAGGCCCAAGGCGCGCCGGCAGCCCTTTGCGCGGAGGATGCTGACCCCTGCTGGCCGCGCGCGGGAACGCAGCGTGCCTGCTGCCGAGACTGACAGTGGGTCACCTCGGAGCCCCAGGATCCCGCCCGGGGGAAGAGGGCCTGGAGGGGTGGTGGGGGAAAGGCAGGGACCGGGAGGACGCGAACATCCAAGGCCCTGAGTTCCAGTCCTGCCCACTCCCCACCCCACCCCCATACACACCATCCGGTAACAGTGTTGGCAGCCTCCCCCAGCTCTCAAATGCCCTCAGCTCCTCACGTCTTAGGAGCTGATAAGCAAGTGGGGAAAGTGAGAGCTGCAGTATAAATGGCGCTAGAATCCCTCCAGGGCCTACCTGTGCCTCCAAAACGCTTCCCCCATCAGGGTCTTCCTCCGGACCAGCCAACTCCAAGTGCGGAGCTAGTGAGGCCAAGCTGGTTTAAGGGATGGTTACTGACTGGTGGGCTGCGTAACGGCTCCCAACCATATCAAGGTCCTAATTCTGGGAACCTGCGGATATTCCCTTATAAGGCAGAAGCCACGTAGCAGGTGTGGTTAAGTTAATTGAGATGGGGAGATTATCCTGGATTCCTCAGGTAAGTCTTAAATGTTATCACAAGCGTCCTTATAAGAGGGAGGGAGAGGGAGCTTTTACTACAGGAGAGGAAAAAAAACCACATTACAAAGGAAGCAGAGAAAGAGATTTAAGATGTTACTCGGCTCATTTTGAAGATGGAGTCATGGGCTAAAGAAAGCAAAAAACGCAGCTCTAAAAACGGGAAAAGACAAGAAAATGGATTCTTCCATGGAGGCTCTACTGATACCCAGATTTGGCCCCACGAAACTGATGTCAGATTTCAGGTCTGCAAAACTGATGTCAGATTTCAGCTCTGTAAAAGCATGAACACCTGTGGTAATTGGTTACAGCAGCCATCAGAAATGAATACATGAATAGGACAGACCTCTACTTCCACTCTAGGGAAGTTTATAATCTTACTTTCTTGAGATTTTGAAAAACAGCAACCAAAAGTCACTTATCTTCTGTGGTGAAATATATAACCCCAAAGCACATGGACTTCCCCAGGGGCTCAGCAGTAAAGACTCTGCCAGCAATACAGAAGCCACAGGAGACACAGGTTTGATCTCTGGGTTGAGAAGATCCCCCGGAGAAGGAAATGGCAACCCACTCCAGTATTCTTCCCTGGAAAATCCCATGGATGGAGGAGCCTGGTGGGCTATAGTCCATGGGGTTGCAAACAGTCAGACATGACTGAAGTGACTTAGCAGGCAAGCACATGGAAGATGCTCAAGATCACTCGCATTAGGGAGGGCAGGGATTATTAAAACCATGGTGAGATACCACGGCACAGCTCCTTGGAGAGTTGTGATAGCAGAGACAGATAGTAATAAGCTTTGGCAAGAATATGGAAAAACTGGGAATCCTCATATTTTACTGATGGGATTGCAAAATGGTGTAACCACTTAGGGAGACAGTTTACCAGTTTCCTTAAAAAGTTAAACATGAATTAGCAGTTGACCCAGCAACTCCACTCCCAGAAATCTACCCAAGAAAAACCTAATATTCATATCCAAAGACATGGACATGAATGTTCACAGCTGTTATTCATAATAGCCAGAACCTGGAAATAGAAGTTCAACAGTGAATGAAAGTATGGTATGCAGGATGAAATACTATATTATTCAGTAAGGGCCAACCAACCCTGCTGACACATTCTGCTTTGACACCACACAGCTCCAGGCCAGTTTTACACTCATTCACATCTAAAACCAGGAGAAACAGATGGTTCTGGTTAGCCTCACTATCTTGTCCCTTTTGCCACACCAGACTATTCCAAAGGCTTTTCCTCTGTCTTTCCCCCTCTGGCTGGTCTCCATGCGGCTCCTGGAACACAACAAGCGCAACCCTGCCTTGGGGCCACGATACCATCCGGAAGCTTCTTACCCCGATGGCTAAGAGGCATGGCTGTCTCCTGTATCTTCTCAATGAGTCTTTCACTTACCACCTTTTACAGACCTTAATAACACCGCCACCCCTTTTCTCTGATTTTTCTCCATGGAATTTATCAACTAATAAGCTTGATAGTTTTGTCTGTCTTCTGGCTAGACTGTAAAGTCCATAAGGAAATGGATTAGTCATTTAGGTTCACTTATGAATCCCCAGGACTATGCCTGATCTGTAGAGAGAATGCAATTAAATGACATAAATGCATGAATTCGTAGTTGACTCTTCCTTGAGCTGGGGTACAAGCATAACTTTTCCATGATGAAAACTGAGAGGAGGCTTGCTCTTCTACAGCACTAGAGACTTGTAGTTCACTTCATGCCTAACCTCCAAGTACAGTAACCACCAACTGCCACCAACAGCCAAGAGACCCAGGCAAACCTTTGAGGAAGAGCCATCGTTTCTCTGCCTTATAGGTTCCTCATGAGGGTCCTTAGCTGGTAAGATAAGAAATTAGGCACACCTACCCTTGAAGACCATAAGTGTAGCCTGAAAACATATGTGACATTCACAGCATCTCTTCTAGGAGTATTTTAGAAGGGGAAAAAGGAAACACAACCTAAACACCTTTTGGTGGAGAAATGTCAGCTTCTAAAGAATCTAAGGCTAAGCAATATAGTTATGAAACTACATTGTGGGCTGTTGAATTCATTCAGCTTCTTATTTAAACTCGTGCCTTTTCCATCAGGTAAGACGTTTTGGTTTGTGTCTGTATGAAAGTTCCTCTCTCACAGGACAATTTAGCACAGGAGGTGGTTTTTAACCACACTCCACCTGGGACATTAGTGATATCAGTTGTTGTGGCCACAGTTCATTGTGTTTTATGTGTACTAGTTACACATAACTAGTAAACGGGTTAGTCTCCCATTTACTACAAGTGAAGGGAAAACTTTGTCAAGGTCTTGACTGATATCAATTTATAACACTTGATGGGGTTTTCTCCTCTGAATTTGGGTACTTGGACTATAATAGAAATGAATTAGGCTTTTTCCTTTGCAAATGGAATAACCACACATTAATGCATCTTGAATAATAAAACAGCCAAACTTCCAGAACGTGTTCTTCTCCATTCCAGTCAGCCTGCCTTCATCATTTAGGGGTGGAGAGAGTCTTTTCTTCCTAAGAGCTGTAAGCCAAAGTAGAGGTTGTATGAGAGCAACTTTGCTCTTTATTACAGCTGGTCAAGACTCAAACAGCCTACCAATTGATTATGGAGGCTGCCTTCAGCCCCAGAACACAAGGGAATGGTGCCAAAAAAAAAGACCCAGAGCACTGCAGCATTAGGTAGATAGTTGTTGCTTGTCTCTAACAGGATTGTCTTTTTGCAAACACACTCTCTTCAAGAATAAACGTGAAAAGCAGGACTTCCCTCATAGTCCGCTGGTTAAGGCTCCACCCCTCCAATGCAGGGGCAAACAGATTCTATTCCTGGTCAGGGAAGTAATATCCCACAAGCCACAAAGTAAAACCAAAAAAACCCACAAAAAACAGTTTAACAAAATCCCAGTTAAAAAGTGAAAGGCAACTAGTTTAAGGCAAGAACTGCTAAGTGACAATTATCATTAAAGTCAAATCTTCAGAAGAAAAGTTAAAAAAAAAAAAAAAAGAATAGTCTTCTGTCCCCATATTTGGCTTTACTTGATCATCTTTAGCTGCTGCTGCAGATCTCTTTAGTTATGAAAGAAAAAGGAAAACTCAAAAAGGCCCACACCCTCCAGTGTATACATTCATTTTTCACAGAGTGTTCATCATTGTACTTATATGCACACAGATTTGTAGATTTTTTTAAAAAAAAAAACTTTTATTGCTATAGTCTTTTAGCAGCTATATAGGAGTCAGTCATGTAGAAGGTACCATGATTTTGACCAATATGATTTCAACGTTCCTATTTCTATTATAATAATCCTGTGGGAAATATATTGGTTTAACAAGTTTAACAAGTAATATCTTTTTGGGATTTGTAGAAGTTGGGTATGTTTGAGAGCCCTTTGTTTTGGGCTTTTAATATGTGTGTTACCCTGTTTCCCAGAAGATACATGGAAATTTACAGCCCTATAAGCAATGTCTTACAACCACTAACACTTTGTAACTTGTATAATATGTCAGGCACTGTTCGTATGAACTCATTTAATCTTTATAACAATCTTATGAGGTAAGCACTATTATTGTTCTCATTTTATAGAAGAGGTAGCTGAGGCACAGAAGTTATGGCAGATCTTTTTACAGGAGGAAAAAGATTCTAGTTTGAGGAAGAATGAATTTTGCCAACTGAAAGTGAAGGTTGAAGGGCACCAGAGTTGTCACTGTCTCTGATGTCTGTTACAACAAAAGAGATGAGTATGGAATGGGATGGTCCCTCCCCCAAAACAACTGAGATTTGGCAACAATGCAGGGTGTAGTAGTATTCCTTAGCCAATTAGGTCTCAGCTAGTGAAAAACATTTAGAACTAGAACCTTTGTTAAACTCACACATGGGACTTCCCTGGTAGTCCAGTGGTTAAGAATCCACCTGACAATGTAAGGGGGAGGGATGTGGGTTTGATCCCTGGCCAGGGAACTAAGATCCCACATGCCGTGGGGCAACTAAGCCTGTGTGCCACAACTACTGAGCCTGCATGCTCTAGAGCCCATGCTCCACAGCAAGAGAAGCCACCGCAATGAGAAACCCACTTAGAGAAAGCCTGCATGCAACAGTGAAGACCCAGCGCAGCCATAAGTAAATAAATACGCGCAGGTGGACTTAATAGCACTAAGAAAGCAGATCTGGAATGGAGACTTTGTCCAGAAACCTAGGAGAGGCCTAGAGCCTAACCTTCTAAACAGTCTGACACCCCCCATCATGACTGGTGCCCTTGAGTTGTGCTCCCTCATCCCACCCAGAGGGTGGACCTTCAGGATGTAGTGGAAAGTTCTCCACCTGGGTAAGAGCTAAAAGCCAGGAGCAGGGGAGAAGGGGGTGGGGGGCAAAGTAAAGTGGGGATGGGGAGAAAGAGAGAAAATGAGAATGTCCATTGGGTGGGGATTCCCACCAGGGACTATTGACCTTGTCACCAGAACAAGAAATCTGATGGGTCGACAGCCACTTAGTTCAATCCTCAGCTTACTTCTGGCTTAATTTCTCTCCCCGCAGATTTTAACACTTTGGAAGTGTCCCCACTCAAAGGCTCTTTCGGGCAGTCTGATTTAACCATCAACCTAAGACATCAGCAGGGGGGCAAGTGGGGGACATATCAACAAAACACACTGACAGTGCTTCAGTCTCACACACCTCTTTGGAAATTGTACCCCCAAACTGACCTAAAGCTTGTCCTCATTGCTTGCACTGATGTTTGAGTTTATACTAGACTTGGGAATGGATTCGGAGACAATGGCCCCTGGCTTATGTGGCTATTCAGGTTAAGACAGATAAACAAAACCTTAGACTGTATACTAAATCTATTTAAAATATATGTACTATATATATACTAGATACTAAAATATACTTTTGAAAATGTTTGTGTATTCATAATCGTTGGGAAGGCACATAGCTTGAAGTCCAGATCAGATAGACTGCTTTGGTCAATTTCTTGACGTGACTAGTGAAGACAATTCTTTGTGGCCTGAACTTACAGGATGAGTTTAGAGGATTCAGGCCTCTAAACACAATTAATGGATTTGGAATGTATCTAGTGCTCTCCAATGACTAGATCTTACTTCCTAGATTATGTTGAAATGCTAGAACAGAGCCATTGCCAGGAAACAAAGAAAATATTGTTACATCTACAAGGGTAATAGGAGAAAGTGAAAGAGAAATTTTGTTTTCCTAGTTGTATGAACCAAATTCCTATAGTGTTTCAAACTTAGTTCAGACATTGATAATGATTTTAATAATAGATGAACTTATTTAGCTCACATTCTGTGCCAAGGTACTGATGTTCAATACGCTGTCTATAATTTAGTTGGTTAATCCTCACAACCAACCGTATGACCTGCTGTCATTTCCATTTTGCAGAGGACAAACCAGAGAGGTTAAATGACTTACCTAAGGTCACACAGCTAGAAAACTGCAGAACCAGGGTTCAGACACTAGCTGTCCGGCTCCAGACCCTATACTTAAAGCAAAACACCTTGTAAGAGTGTATGTGTGCCTGACTTCCTGCATCCTCAGCCTCAGTTACCTCACCTGTAAAATGGAGTTTCTAACACCAACTTCAAGATCCTCTAGGAATTAGCAGCAGAGCATTTGTGAGCAGCAGTATTTTAAATAGTAGAGTCTCAACTGGCATTCACTCCCTTTCCCATGAGGAAAGAATTATTTTCATTTCTGAGAAAAAAACTGGATCAGAGAATTATCATGAGAGAGTTGGAAAGACCCCAAGAAGCTGCCTCTTACAACCACCCTTTGTTTGGAGGGTCAAACTCCCTCCTCCAGCTTTCTTTGGTCACGTAGTAATAAGTAGGCTGTTTATCATTCAGTCCAATCCATCTCAATACAGGGAGGTAGGTTCCTCACCCAGTAAAAGGAAAACTTCTAACAGATCTTCAAATACAGCTGCTGCCAAGGTACCCCTTTCAATAAACTTCAAGACTCCTGAATCCCCCTGATAACCCTTCCTGGGTTCCAGCTTGACAAAGTTAATCAAAGCTGCCTTCAAAGTTTGATACAGAACAACAGAAAAACCGTCAGGCCGAGTATAACTACAGTAGAATAAAGGAATACTATCCACTCCTTTCATCTGCATCTTCCACATCTGTGAATGTGACCCGGGTTTGTGTTTTCCAAACAGCATTAAAATAGCCACACCTATAATACCAGATCTCTGATCTGCTCTTCAACCTCCAAAGCTGCCTGTTCATACTGACTGACTACAAAGAGGCCTTTGAGAAAATAAACACTGTGATAGCTCTCTAGGCCAGAGCAGGAGAACAAGGTCATGAGACCAAGCCCTCAAGTCCACTAAGTGACTAAAACAAATCTCGAGTCAAAGCCTCAGAACTTTGTGTTGTGAACCATTCTGAAGTGTGAAATGCCAACTCAGTCAACTCCAATTACTAACGTTGGGACTGCTCCCCGTTTCCAGCTCTTCCTCCCAGACACTGTCAGATTGTCCTTCCTGACCCTTCTGTGTTGGGGCGTGCTCATGTGACTACTCCCAGCCAACAAGTTCACTGCTGGGTCACAGCATTTAACTGCCAGTGCAAAGACAGACCCTCCAGAGCTCTTCCCCTCTGGCAAGGCATCCAGAGACCACTAGCTGGGTACCCAGGGCCTTCTGAGAGCAGAGCCCACCTGCCAAATGGGATGGAGTATAGCCTGAGAGAGAAAAAAAATCTTTAAGTCACTGGGATGACGGTGGGTTTTGCTACCACGATATAACTTCATGTCTCTGATAGGCTTCCCTGGAGGCTCAGTGGTAAAGAATCTGCCTGCCAATGAAGGAGACATGGGTTCGATCCCTGGGTCAGGAAGATCCCCTGAAGATGGAAATGGCAACCCACTCCAGTATTCTTGCCTGGGAAATCCCCTGGACAGAGGAGCCTGGAGGGCCATAGTCCATGCGGTCGCAAAAGAGTCAGACATGACTTAGCGACTAAACAACAACAACTCTGACTGACACAGCTCTATGATTAAATTCCTGAAGAGAATGGGGTTTTCCCCTCAATATTTCCTAGATCCTTCTCATACCACCTGGCAGCACCTAAGAGCTGACAACCATCCAACTCTTTTTCCTTCTTCCCCCCTTTTCTTTTTCCTGATTGGACTTAACAGCTTTCCTTGAAATGAAAATACTTAGAGTTACAAAAGCCCAGAAGTTACTGATAAACCAGGAGAAAGGCCTCCTCCTGAGATCTTAGTCAACAGCTTTTCCAGCAGCTGCAGCAAGAACCCGGGCTATGACCACCCGCGGTGAGCTGCTGCCCTCCAGCTTCAGGGGGACCAGGGCCAGCTGCCCATGAGCCCAGAGCAGGCAGAGAAGGGCAGGATAAGGGAGGGAGGAAGGTACCATCAAGAACAAACTGCGGTTTTGTGCAGCCCCGTGGTTAAGTTCAAGGTCTCCCTAGGAACGACTCTCTGCTTGGTGAAACTGGTTCATTCCAGGCAGAGCCAATTCGGGAATGAAATTCCATAAACACCCTCCCAGAACGAGCACCTCTAGCTACAGATGTGCAGTCACTGTTCACGTACAGGTCCTGATGGGAAATGAATAGTGCTGTCTTACTTTAAATGTTAACAAGTTGCTTTTTGCTCTGTGAGTCATGGGGCAGTAACACCCTACGGAACACTTGGCAGACCCAGAACGTCCAAGTCACAGGGCTGTCAGGCATCTGCCAGGCGTCCTGCCCATTTATGACACAGTCACTCCAGTGGAGGGACTCCCGCCTACACCCCCACATTCCAGGGTCACGGGGGACCCAGCACTTACTCACTTAGAGTAGAATCAGGTTCCTGGGCTCCGTCAGCCCTAATAACCCACCAACTTCAGACCATGGGCTTTGGAGAAAGAAGTTTAACTTAAATCTGATGGGATTCTAAAACCTAATGAGTTGGATAGAGGGGATTCAAAAGCTGGAATAAATACATCTATTTTTCTGTAAGGTATTTGAGAAAGAATAACTGGTACTCATTCAACTCAGTGGATCCCTACTAATGGAAATAAACAAGGGCCCCTAGAACTGAGAAAATACTTCTAGAGCATTCTTTTAAGACCCTTCCCGTTACTCAAAGCCCTCCCTCATTAGGATTCCATAAAGTCTAAAAGTATAACTTATTCTTCAGTCTTTATCATTGTATTTCCTGAAGTTCCTACAAAAGATACTCCAAGGAGAGGTAGCATTCATGCACCAGATATGAGCTATGTGCCTAGAACTTGCTGGGACCTGGGAACACACAAATGAACAAGTCAGGGGACCTGCCTTTGTGACACTTGGATTCCAGGGAGAAAGACAAGAAAACTGCTGATAGCGGTAAGTGCTCTGATAGAACTGAACAGGATGATGCGACGGTAACTGTTGGTGGCATCTGAGCTGAGACCTAGAGGATAAAAAGGAGTGGGACAGGGCTTCCCTGGTGGTCCAGTGGTTGGGAGTCTGACTTGCAGTGTGGAGGACGCTAGTTCAATCCCTAGTCTGGGAGGATCCCATGTGCAGTTGAGGAAGAAATCACTGCAAGTTTTCTTGAATGTACAAAAAACATGCATCCACAGATTCAAGATGTATAAATTAGTAATTAAAGGTAGCCACAGGGACTTCCCTGGTGGTCCAGTGGCTAAGACTCCACACTCCCAATGCATGGGGCCCGGGTTCAATCCCTGGTCAGGGAACTGGATCCCACATGCTGCAAGACCCAGCACAGCCAAATAATTAAATAAAATAAAAAACAAAGGTGACCATAAAAACTCTGCTACTCCACTCACTGAAAGGTAGAGTCTTCTTATTCTCCCCTTGCATCTGCCTGGCTTCAGCGACCGACCTCATCAATGGGCCACAGCGGAAGTCACACAGCATGACACCTGAAGCTACATCAAGGCTATTCAGCTTCTAGCTTGGTTTCTTGGTCTCAGGGGAAATCCAGCAACCTTGTAGAAATCTGACTAAAGCGTTCTCAGGACTATATAAACAAGGACACATTGCATCGAGCCCTCCAGCTGTCCCCCTAACATTCAGATTATGAATGCCTATAAGGAAAGACATCTTGCACCCTTCAGACCAGCCCAAGTTTCAATTAAATACCACCAAGAAACTTCAGTAAATCACACATGGAATCCCACAGCAAGAATCACTCAGCTGAGACCTGCCTAAATTTCTGTCCCACAAAAAATTGAAGAAAAAAATGGCTGTTTCTTTAGGTCACTAAGTTTTGGGGCAGTCTGCAATGCAACAGAACCAGAAAACTGTCTCAGCAGCAAAAGGGCACAGAGCAGCACCCAGTCTTCTCCCTTTAAGGAGGACTGCTACGTCTGTGCTCTCTCTTCTAGGCTGTGGTGGGGAGCAAGTTCCCATTCCTCCTCAAGTAGTGAAGACCAGCCATCTCCCCACTAGAAACTGCTTCCTCAGGCTCAGGCCGGGAAGCACTTACTAAACTTCTAGATGGGGGCTTCCTTGGTGGTCTAGTGGTTAAGAAGAACCCTTCTGCCAATGTAGGGGACACCGGTTCAATCCCTGGCCTCGGAAGCTTCCACATGCTGTGGAGCAACTAAGGCCCTGTCCCACAACGATTGAGCCTGTGCCCTAGAGCCCA